GTTGTGTTTTGGTTGAGTATACTTCTCATTTCTCTTCACCACTCTTCCAGTTTTGCTCAGAAAAAGTGATTGAGCTTGTAGCATTATATCCCAATTCTACACATCTAAATCAATCTATGGATGTATATTCTTTCCATATACTCAAAGATGTCAGGAGGCAGAGGGTCATTTTACGAAAGGGAATTCCTCATTCGCTGCAGAATGACTTTCGCAGATGTGGATTATATCCGTGGGATGCAACTGTGTTCAAGCTCCTGACAAGAGTTAATGGAACAACTAATATTGTACCTCTTGAAAGCAGAACGGTACATTTAAATTCGTTAGGGGACCAAATTGGCATAGAAAATTAAGGCAGCTGGAAAGGTTGTGTGGAAGATCTATCTTCATATAACCATTGGACACATGTGAAATTTCAAAAAAAACTATTCTAGAAATAGTCCATAAAACATTCACAAAAATCTTTATGTGAAATTACACCAATCAAGACTGAAAATAATTTTCCTTCAACTATGAACTTCAACAGTGATGAACAAATGTTAGGTAACTGCACCAAAAACATTTTTCTTTGACGCTAATGAAATACCTTTCTTTAGTTTTAAGGAGTGACTTCTTTAAACAGCAATTTAATTCCTTCGCCTTTCAAACAAGTTTTATTTTGGCCCAAAGAAAATAAAATTAACTTGCTTAAGACAGAAAGGAAAAAAATACCTTCAGTAATTATGTCACCCCAAAAGAGAGAATATGGGATGAACAAGGAAGAAACGAAAGTTAATAAAGAAGGCCAAAGAGGAAAGAAAAGAATAAAACGATGTTGAAGAAAGGGAGCAAAATAAAAATAGAAGCAGACTAAAGAAACTAAAAAGCTTACTAGTCGAGAAAGTCTGTGCTAATATGTAGCACTACTAGTTGAATTTTATAATCAGCGATCAAAACTTCTTAATGTAAAATAAGTATTTGTTAGTTGCAAGTTAAATCTTATTTCCTTTCATAAGAATATACAGTCTCAGGGTACCAGTCGTCGGGGGACGTGTCTTCAGGGAGCTGAGTGACAGGCATGCACAATTTTTCAGGCAACTATCTAAAGACCTCTTAATGGGGAAAAAATAACGGCGCAGGATACGTATCTGCGTACTATTATGTCGCAAGATCAAAGAAAAAGTAGCAAAAACTTTTACAGTTACGTGAGGAAACCTAAGGACAGAAAATATTGTGTTATTTCTATCAAAGATGTACAAAACAATACGGTAGTGTCAGACTCCTGCAAATCTGAGTTATTTAACAAGTACTTTGCATCTGTATTTCGCAAAGGCCCGTCTGCAGCCCTCTTCGGAGGCCCGTCTATAGATATTAACGCGAAGGATATTCGAAACGGACTAAACAAATTTGGGAAACGTAAATCAGTGGGACCTCATGGCATTTCTGGAGATTTCTTAAAATTAGGAGGCGAAGCCATGATTCCGTATCTTTTGTGAATTTTTCAAATAACTCTAAATAATGCATCTATTCGCGACGACTGGAAAAGAGCAATTGTGGTTCCTTAATTTAAAGGAGGATGTCGCTCAAAAGTAGAAAACTTCCGACCAATTAGCTTAACATCGGTTGTCTGCAAACAAATGAAGAATATATTGTAGAATACTTAAAACGCGAATGGCTCAAAACAGGTTGGCTTTTCGAAGGGCAACATGGGTTTAGAACAGGCTACTCGTGCGAAAGCCAAACAGTCTCCGTACGTCAAGATATTGCTAATTCCCTTGATATGGGTGGGATAATTTATGTAGTCGTCATAGACTTCTCAAAAGCTTTCGATCTTGCTTCACACGACCGATTAATAGCAACACTTGCTAGGGCGGGAACCGAAACTAGAGTAGTATCTTGTATCCGAGAATGGCTCAGTGGGAGAACTCGGAGAGTAAGAATAGGTGTTAAACTTTCGCAAAGTGTCACGCAAAATTACGCATAAAATGCTCATTTTCAAAAATTGAACATGACCTTACTTGAAGATGTTTCTGAACACATTTCATTTTTAAACAAATATCTTAATAATTATGTTATGTTATGTTATAGTATAAATATATACGTATATGCGTATATATATATATAATATATATATATATATATATATATATATATATATGTAGTATGTTCATAGTATGTAGTAAGATATTTATACAAATATCTTAATAATAATATGTAGAAATATGCCGGAAAAATTTGGGTGTTTGCAATTTTTTTTTTAAATATCAGATTTAAACGAAAATGAGACTTGCACTATTCTTTCAAGCGTCCTATATTAGCTATCCGAGGTCAAAATTTAATAAAAAAAATTGGTGCAATATTTTTAAATATTCCACGCTGTACGATACAAATGTCATAAATACGTTTTCGTCAGTTCGGTTTCTACAGTGCGACGAGTCACATCGAGATGAATCTTCTCCACTGGGCTAATTTTCGTGATTATACCAACGCGCATCAGTTGTTGGTAGATGCATTCGGCCGAAGTGTCATACATTATGCCGCCGCGTACAATGATGTAAGTGGACTAATTTTTTGTCTCGCACGCGGCGATTCAGTGAATCGTGTGGATTCCTATAACAAAACACCACTTCACTACGCTTTCCGTGCAAAAGCGTGGACGGCAGTCAACTTTCTAATATTTGCTGGAGCAAATGAAATGTGCGTGGACGATATGGGAAAGACGCCGGAGGACGATGGCCGTCTTCCGCCAGCTTCTACAGACACACTGTGCGTGTGCGAGCCTAACGGATGTGCACTGTGCGTTCGTGCGCCGCAACATTGCATTGTGGACACGCCACTACAAGTGTACAGAGAAGCCATGCGGGAAGTGCGGTCCACGTCCCCTGCACCAGAGACGCCGCCGCCCCCATATGAAGATGCGTCACCTGTGGTGGAACCGTCCTCCACACATGGCGTTGATGCAGTTGCGCAGGTTAGCGTTGACGCAGACGAAGTGACGGCCGTTTTGCCACCAATCTATAGTTTGGGGTCACAAAACATTAATAATGACTTCACGTGTTAGCGGAAATAATTTACTACATATAGAAAAAAAGATGTATCCACTTTATCATAACTGGGACCCGGCAGCTAGATTTCTGTGGAAAATCGACGATTTTTCTTCGCAGAAATAAAATACTTTCTCAGGCTGAGTAAACAGTATACGAATAAGCCATGAAATATGAAGAGTAGGCAGTTTTGGATTAAGTGAACGTTTAAGTCGTAGTGGAGAGATTTGTTTCTTATAAACCAAGGTGCTTTCGTGGCTATTCTTAGAATTTTAGTGTGGTACGTTTGGAGAGTGCAAGGGAGCAACATTCTACCAGACCGGGCTAGCATAAAACAGCACAAGTCGTAGAATGGTTTTGTACAGAAGGATGGATAGATGAGGTAAGAAGCGAAGAATGCCTGTTTATTATGGGGCGAAGTGGGAGTTTATTTGGAGTTTAACAGATGTATTCGTAACGCTTCCCACGAGCGAGCTGTCGATGCCCTTCTTAATTTCCTTCGTCTCCCACTGTGAGCTCGCGAGCCCGTTTGCTTGTTCCGCCTCCCTTTCTGAATGCAGACGTAAGCTTCCGCGGCTCGAATCCATGAATTATTGGCTATCTGGGAGATACCGCGCCGGTCACTGCCCTGAGGAAGCCTGCGGCCTGTCAGGGAAACGTTTGCCTCGCAGCCAACGGCGCGGCGTCTCCCGCATAGCCAATAATTTATCCCTTTCCGCATGTTATAGTTTCCCGACTTGTTTCCAACAATGTTCACTTTTCTCTCAAAGGTTCTACTTTAGTTTTTGAAGAATTACACTTACAAAATTACATACAAATAACTATTCTAATAACTCATTTTTAATCAACATTAATGACTTTTGGTAAGAAAGTGAGGAAAGTACGAAAAGTCTAAAGTGAGTCCCCCAGAAATCCGAGTGTAAACTATACATGTGTTTTCCAGATAGCAAACATTTTGTTATTTTAAAGTATCAATGTTTTTGCCGTGCACGGGAATGATAACGTACATCAACTTTAATATGTTGATGATCTATAGTATCATTCATTTTGAGATTATTTAGTACACATAGAATCCGTTTGGAACAGTTTCAAAATCGTATCTGAAATGAGTCGTCGAAAACCGATTGCTAACCCTAAATTATTTTACTAGTGAAACCGGCAGGTTATTTAAAACAGTTTATTGCATTAGTTTTGGCTTTTCAATTGAACGATATACTAATAAGCTTCTGAATATTGCTTTTCGTTGTATATGACTTGTGTGGGTCAGAAACCCCACAGTTTTAAACTATTTTTAGAAATTATATAACTAAATAAAACTACACACTCAGCGACGCCTAATTGAAGAGCTTATTTCCAAAGACGTAATTTCGTTTGTTTACTAATTTTACATAATATATTAAAACAAGATACTTAATTACACCATATAATAAGACACTGTATCCATCATGCTCCCAAATGTGTTCAAAATGACACTTCTTTTATGCTAAACGATATTAGCCGAAACCACTTGAAGCATATAAGTAAATTGGAATAATTTACGTTCCTGAAAATTTGTATTGCTTGGGAATGTCGCTTTGGAAAACAGCTCTCCAGACTGTGAAACGGTAACGCCCACACTGCGTACACAGCAAAGAGATGGCATTCAAAATGGACTCTTAAAGCTACAAGGCACGACAGAAAGCAATCTCGCCCGGCACGCCGACGCTGACCGTGTATTATGTACCCGCACATGATGAAAAGACATGGGCGAGCTGTGGTCCTTGCCGGTGAGCTTTGCTCGCTCTGCGCAGCACCACATACGTCACGAACCACGTGACCGCACGGGCACTTCGAAAAGCCAAGTCAGACGCTAGCTGCCATGCTGCATGCAAGTGAGAAATGCGTTTGTTATTAATTCTTCATATATCTTGCTTTACCTGTTAGTAAAAGGTGATAATTTTGGTATCTGACTGCAATTAACATCTCTCCTAATATTGTGACGCAAACTAGTGCATGAAGCTCATTGGCTGAAGCCGGAGAGGCTGCATAATAACTCACCCATGAGTTTTCATCATCTATACGCAGTTGATTGATTATTTCGAGTTTGCAGGCGCGTCAATGAGTGAAAAATTACAAACACTGTGACATTTATTGAAAACGTCATTTCAACTAAAACGTATAAAGCTACTTATTATCTTAAGAAAATTATCAATCATAACCAAAAAGGAGGGTAGGTTGGAATAAATAATTATAGAGGAATATATAATTATTAATCCATTCTTGCCCCCACCCCTGAAATCTGCAGTTACTGCCCTGGGCGATAAGTGACATTTGAAACTCCGCCCTGAACCTTTCAATTCGCAGGCTGAAGTTTCAGTTGCACACCGCGAAAGACTAGTCATTCGGATCTGCTTCCCCCTCGGCGCGCGCCATCAGTGGCCGTCTCCTCGAGTGACTTTTCATGTGCGTTGCCAGGTGATTCTTATACCCGAACGACCGCTTGCACGTTGGGCACTCGTACTTTTTCGCGCAAGAGGTGTGGGTCAGCATGTGAATATCCAACGCCTCCCTTCGTGGAAACCTGCCCGCGCAGACTGAGCACAGATGCGCGTTGTCGCCGGCGTGGCCCTTCGCGTGGCTGACCATTTCGTCCTTGGTCGCGAACCGCGTCCCGCACTCGAGGCATTCGAACGGTTTCTGCCCCGTGTGGGTCCGCAGGTGATGGTTCAAATGCTCGCTCCTCGCGAACTTTCTCTCGCAGAAGCTGCACTCGTACGGTGTCTCGCCCGTGTGGCTCCGCAAATGCTTGTTCAAACTCTTCTGCCGGGCGAAGCTCAAGTTGCAGTCTGTACATTTGAAGGGTTTCGCGCCCGCGTGGCACTTTTGGTGAACGTTTAAAGAGCCCCGATTGGCGAAGCCTTCGTGGCAGACGCGGCATTCGAACCGATTGACACCGTTGTGCTTCCGCGAGTGAATCAGCAGATCTCTCTCTCGGACGTACTTCCGGTCGCAAACGCCGCACTCGTACTGCCTGCTGTGAAAGTGAGTTGTCATATGTCTAACCAAGTACGCCTTGCTCGTGAACTTCCGTTGGCAATCAGGACAGGAGAAAGGTTTCTCATCCGTGTGAGTCAGAACGTGTTTGGCCAAACTCTCCGTTTTCACGAATGTCCGCAAGCACATTTCACACTGGAACGGCCCCTCCCCAGTATGGGTCCGCATGTGAGCAACCAATGTCTCCTTCCTTTCGAATCCCTGTTTGCACACCAAACATTTGAACGACGCTACGGCGGGGTGGGTCCTCATGTGATGAGCTAGAGCTATCTTCTGAACAAAAATTTTCTTGCACTGTGGGCACTCGTACGGCTTTGGGTCGGCGTGAGTCTCCATGTGTATTTTCAAGGCTCCCGAACTCGCGAAGTTCTTTTTGCAAACGACACACTCGAACGAAGTTTCGCTTGCGTGTTGTCGCATGCGGATATCGGAAGTAGACTGTCGAGAGGTCTTGCAAACCTCGCACACTAAAAAGCCCTCGCCCGCGTGGACCTGCACGTGACTCTCTAGAGAGCCCAATTCTCCAAAGCCCATTTCGCAGCACAAGCATTTGTACCACTTCTCGACAAAGTGGGTGCGCTTGATTACACTCGCGTGAAAAATGTCTTTCTTGCATATTGAACATCCGTACCGTCGACTCCAACTATTACCAGGCGCGCCAACCGCTGCAGAATAGTCTCCTGCAGGGTCCCCTTCACATTTGGGATGGCGGTGTAGTTTCAATTCTCGGTGCTGCTGCTGCAGGTAGGCCTCTGCTTTCGTTTTGTTTCTTTCACCTCCTGCTGCACTGTGGACGTTATTCGGATCTGCAAACAGAACACACCATCAGCCTTCCACCCCATTCCATATTTTCAAGCCAAGCCGGGTGCACCAAATTTTATGTAGGCGTAACACAGTCAAAGGAGTTCGAAAAGGTAGCAATGAGTTCAATGTACCCTTTTTTTCGAAGCCACCTTTGTGAAGTAAACGACGAGTGAGGCAGCGGGCCTATGAAAATTGGGTTTGGAAAAGAAACTGTACAGAATGTAAAAAGGTATTAAACCACCAAAACCAATACCTTCAAAGAAGATATCGTTGGCTTGGTTCACACTTATTGTACGTCCAGAATTCAAACATTTGTAAAGTTGCACTATACAGTAAATGTTACTAGTATGTAGACAATATTTTTTTAAAATTGTGTTTACACTGTAATTTAATTTTCAAAACAAACAGAATTATAATAATTATAATAAATTTATCAGTAGTTGAGACTTTCAACATTAGAGACTGATAATCAAAATCGATGATTTGGGGCTTAAACATTTGTAACAAATGTAATACAATATTCAGTTTTTTGGTGTTTGTTCACGCAGAGCATGTTTTATTGTTTATGAATTTCATTTAATTTTTATAATAGGGATGCTTATGAACCCTTTGTTAGTAAAAAATGCACTTTAAAATTTGTTTTCAGAAAATTTTATTTTTAAGTTCAAAAAGGGGGATTTGCTTGGACATGTAAAAGCTATTTATAACTTGTATAACAAATGTTACAAAATGACAATATTTTACTGTATAAAGAGGCAGAACGTTAATGCCTTTACGAGAGAAAGACGTACCCCTCTAACGCATTTTATTATCACTTTTAAACAGAAAATATCTCACGAAGTATTTCATTCAGAGGGTTAATTTTTATTTTATTTAATATTCAAACTCTGAATAATGAGAGTCACTTCAGAAATCATCTGGCCAAAACATGTGCGTAACAAAAACAACAGCTCAAACACGTAACATGTGCACGAGATACAAGATATGTGTATCATGGTAATGTAACTAAAACCTTGCGTGGAGTAGTATGTCCGGATACACAATACCTGTCCACAAAATTAAAATGGCAGTGAAGACCATGTGGGCGGGCGAGCTGCGACCTGGTTTCGTGCAGTGGGGCCTCAGGTTGAAGAAACAGCTGAGACAGCCCCCTGCATTCTGGGTCGCAGGCCTTGCCTCAAATAAGGCACCACCCTGGAGACGCAAGCCCCTCTTTGCGCTCGTCACTCCGCCTCCATCATTCACCTCGGCAGTCGCCACCCATGACAGCGTAGGCTGCCGCGGCCCGAGTCAATAGCTGCTTGGCTGTCCGGGAGACGCCGCGTCCTACGCACAGGCGCCAACGTGTCGGCCGCCATTCTGTGACCTTCCTCGCCCTGAGGAAGCTGGCAGAATGGCGGCCGAAACGTTGCCACCTGTGTCTAGGACGCGGCGTCTCACGAACAGCCAAGCAGGTACTCGCCACTCGTGTCAGGTGATATAACGTTCTAAGTCGAATATGTTTCAATGTTTCAAATATTTGCGACCACGCCACCTGCACCCTCCTCGTCTCGCGTCTAATAGAACGAACGCGACAACATACAACACACATACTTAAAACAAATGAATTTCAAGTGATTTATAATGTGTGTACTGATTATGTCACCAGACGGTGACTTCCAATCCTATGATAAATCGCCTTCCCTCCTCCGTGGACATACGATAATATGAGACCTCAAAATATGGTATTCACTTAACAAATATGGCCGCAAATGCACACACAATGTTTGTGCACTAAGCCATAGATGTAACATCAGCGATGATTTGGAAAGATAGGACGAGGATTGACTCATCGGTCCAAATTCCTTCTTAAAGCTTAAACTGAACGCATGGACTTAAAGCAGCGTCCTCTCCCACGAGTAACTCACTGATCACGGGCTGTACGGTAATAAACTATACTAATTCGAGAGAACCAATCTTGCTCAAGCGGAAGCAGGGTTCGGACACGTGAACATAAAAATTTGAGTGTCCTTTAACTGCCAAAGTTGCGACCGGGATCGGAAAACTTGTTCGCGAATATCAACCTGAAATATCTGACCATTGTCTTCAAAGATAAACGTTTTCGCAGGACTTTCATGGAGGCGATCGAGGGAACATTAGTTATAGCATCCACATTTACCGCCCATTTCCAACATTATTTCATGCTTTACTAGAGGGCGAGGCCCTTAGTTTGAACTTCGGCTCCTATTCGCTGTGTCGCTGTCTATTCTTTTTTATGGTTGGCTACACCCGCCAATACGCTATCACTGTAGAAACGCATAAATTCGACCGAAGACGCGTGGCAATAGGCCATCTTCCTGCCGACACGAATCGATGTCAAATTAAGGCGACACAGTGTTACTTCTTTTTGTGGATTAAGTCACAGTGTAGCGAAATGAGATGAGTGCGAGCCCGCCCGCAAAACTTTTATCCGACCCCCCCCCCCTGAAAAATGTAGATAGCAAACAAGTTGTGTTAGTAATAATAAAAATATCCCATACAAATAGGCCCCCCTTTTACCCGGGCCTGCCCGAATTGCGGACCTTGCTGGCCGAACGTTCCGCCGCTGTTATAAAGGTAGCAGCGTTTCACTTTAATGGCAATTTAAACGCTAAGTCATATCACTATTCGTCATGACTTAAGTACGTAGAGAGAAAGCACGCCAGTAAGGTAAGGTTGGCAAAATTCATCTATTTTTCATTATTTAAAGAAGCATAGGCGAAAGCGCTTGACTCTTTTGTAAATTGAAGACTCATCTCCTCAGTAATTCTGAACACCCTAGAATAGGCCTTAGGACTATAGATGCAGTACGATCTAATTTTTTGATATGACTTATATTTCGGCCATTATATTATAAAACTAATATAAAAACACCTGTGAGATAATGTAACTATTTTTGTATACCAATAGACATTCTGAGAAATGCGATTATTGCAATCAATTGTTAACACTTGTTATTGGTGTTAATCCATTTAACAATCAAAGAGAAAAGGAAATATTTAGTTTATTTAATTTATAATTATTTTTCATCTAAACTTTAAAAATAAACTAGTGTTATAAAAACTTATCCTGACAGATCATTCCGCATTATTTCCTAAGCTAATTTTTAATACATTTCAGCCAGCAAAAGTAGGTCGAGGGGTGATTTCATTGGTGGACGCAAATGGTCCCCCCCCCCTTTCTTACACACACCACACATTTCAGCTGCTGCGTAGATCAGTGTTGTCTAATTGCAGCCTTAATTTTGTTTGTACTTGCCCATCTTACTGAATAAAAAAATTAATAAAACTTTAGGAGAAAAAAGCATATAGTCAGCATTCTTAGTTTCCATACTCGTATCAATAAACAAAATGTGTCATCAGCCACTCCTGGACTTCAACGCCCTAAAACCAGAATTCGCATTGTTGAAGATGTATGGAGATGGGAGGGAGGTTCCCAGCGGCTCTCATATAGAAATTGTGATCGTCAAGCACACCCATTCTACCAGAATAAAAAGTGTAATGCCCCTAAGCATTTCTGGAAACTGATTTCTAAGGAACATTTTCTCAAATTCTCGCTGCAAATGTTATCGTTGATTAGCAATATGTATGTCTGAAAGTGCTTTTCACGCTGCGGGGGAAAAGCTGCGAATTTTCAAAATAATTATTGTATGGACCTAGCAACGAAAAAGTGTATAAATCCAGTTGCTAAATTTAGGAGAAAATCCTCTAACACATGGTGTAGCGAGAATCCATGTTTTATGGGACCTCGTTACCGAAAAATCGATTGACGGCAAAACGTCTGCCCGTCCATGAACAACGGTAGCGACTAAACCGTTCAGCCGATTTTCTCCGAAATTGACATTCCCCAATTGATCTGGCTGATGTCACGGTCTAACACGTAGTCTAACCAGAATCCCTGTTTCTTTACATTTCTTGTAAGAATACAATAAAATAAACATACAGATTACATAGGTCAGATTTTCACTGTTAAATGAATTTTCGTTAAATGCAAAAGTTTGAATTTTTTTCGGTGTCTTCCTACAACTACAAAATTAAAGATAGAGATTTTTCCTTCATATGCAATTAGTTCTCTACAATTAGTTCTTTCATTAAGATCATGTACATTTTTTGAAAATTTTAGTAGTTTTCAGGCTACATTGAGTGCAATAAGTTCAATTTTTAAAAAAATTTACATAAGCAAGATTTTCTCAAAAACGGCTCCAAATTTTTCTTTAAACTTTTGTCAGAAATAGTGCTAAATGTACTCTATGAGATGACAAACGCCATATTGCGTTATTCTTTTGGTTTTCCAAAATTTGCCAAAACGTATTTTTAACTTGCCTCTGGCGATAAAATTTAAATTATAAACGTATTTCATTGTTCAATGCATTTCTTAACACATAAGCTTCAAAGTATTTTTAATGATTATGGACATTTAAAAAATCGTTGAATATAAGGGAACTGAGAGTGGCGAATTTTCTTAAACGATCGATCGAACCTAATTTTCTTCAGAAATATGAAAAATGTTTTGCCTAAATTCTTCACAACGGAAAAGAGTTCTATTCTCTCCGATATTCCAAAACGTTGATTTCGGCCAAGATACTTGAGGCCCTAAAATCAAAAGAATGCTGAAAATGTAAGCGTGTTTTAATCACACACAGAATAAAAGTTATCTATTATACAAAACTAAAAGTAAACTATCGCGTCAGCTGAAAAATTTTCTAAATATTTTGTTTCACATATTCTCGAATTATTGTAAATATAATCGCAAATGTGAATTTTTTGTATTCGTACGCTTAGAGAATTCGCCATTGGCTTGAGATTCAAATTGGTTACCATGACAAGAATGTTATTAAATAATGGTTTTGTTTTCATCCAGTCGAAAATACCAACCTGACAGTCACTTATCAGTGGAATATTGAAAGAATATTACGCATAAGTGTGTGAATCCTTTAAGTGTCATCGCAGTGTATTACTTACGTACTGATTCTATTTCATGTGCA